CTAAGACAGCCATCTACCTCATAGAAACCATGACTAAGACAGCCATCTACCTCATAGAAACCCTGAAAAAGACAGCCATCTACCTCATAGAAACCATGACTTAGACAGCCGGCTATCTTATAGAAATCCTGACTAAGACAGTCATCTACCTCAGTTAACACCCAAATGTAACATCTCAATCCTGTGACCGATACAAAGTAACTATAGACCAAACAAGGCCAAAGAAGTCTTAAAGCCACACATTGTAGAGAAATGTCTCCCCACTGCCCTGCAGCAACAGATACACAGAGACTCAGAGACTGTGGTGGCAGGCACAGGACCTGTACAAGTCCCAGCCAGACAAAAGCCCAGCACAGGTGACAAGAAAACTGATGTCCGGCCACCATTGGATGGCTGCTGGGAGCCAGAATGTCAGTCATGATTTGTTTTGTTTTGTTTTATTGATATCTCATGGTAGGCGGATCACACTGCAGAGCAGACCCAACCCCGAGACTAGGTGGGCAACACAAACTGGGGAAGAAACCAGAGGAGGAGGAAAGGAAGACAAAGAAGATGACAATCTCGTCACTACTGGGTGGGAAGGGATGGGAAGGCTGAGAGAGTGGGAAGGGGAGGAGCTAAAGGGGCGAATATGTTTACAAACCATATAAAATCCCAAAAAATTAATTTTTAAGATAAGTTTTGAAATAGAAGAGAAGCAAGAATGAAGAAGCCAGAAGCCACGCGCAGAAAAGTAAACAGCTATGTGCCCGGAGCAGGTGGTCATCGTTTACCTAGGATCCGCGGCGGCTCCTGTACCATGTGCTGGATGAGGAGATCCAGGCACCTGGCCAGGTACTCGCTCCCACCCTGCAGCTCCTTGCCTGGGGAGGTCTTTCTGCTGTCTCTCTCGATGTACATCACCAGCCTGCAAAAAGCACCGGAAAAAGATTATTGCTCATGGTAAGATAGATACAGTGTCTGTCTTAAATGCCACTGAGGTGAGAGTTTCCACAGGGGCAGTCCTAGCCATGCCCATGATAAGATAGATACAGTGTCTGTCTTAAATGCCATGCCACCAAGGCGAATGTCTCCAGAGGTGCAGCCCTAGCCATGCTGACCGTCACAGCACTGCACAGCCAGGCACAGTCAGCTGCACTCTACCAACCCAGACATTGATGCAGAAGCCAGCCTACACTAACGGTCTCTGCCCGGGTTGTAAACAACACCCTGATTTCGTTTGTCTTTACCCAATGGAAAGATGCATTCTCCAGTGATAGATGGCAACCAACCAAGACATTTGCACACAAAGAGCTCTCGGTGTTCCAGGATCAGTGGAGAACCTTGGATATCACTCCTTTTGTTGGTCATTAATATTAAACTTGGTTGGAAGTCCTGGCCATTCAAATGAACTCTAGTTCTTTTGGGGAACTATGGACACAGACCCAAAGAAACGGGGACAGCAACAGTTACATTAGCACACCTCTCTGCCCATTAGTTTAAGACGTCTGCTGTGCTTGCATGTGTGTGCATATGTGTGTGTGTGTGTGTGTGTGTGTGCGCGCACACACACACGTGAGAGAGATGTGCTATGAGCTGTCCTGATCACTCATGAAGCCAGCATCTTCTCATGTGTGAACTGGACATCTAGGGATGACACGTGTGTGAAGAGACACATGTGAAGGGTTCACTAAGTCTTATTTTTCTCCTGGATTCTCTTGTCCTTTAGGTTAGAAACTCTGGGGGATTATTTGTGTAACAAGTGTCTTCCCCTGATCTATGGCTTGATTTGGATTCTTTTGTTTGTTTTTAAATTTCTGACTCTAACGGAAGTCCCTAACTTTAAGTTAATATATACCAGTGTTTCCTTATGATGGAGCCTGTGCAGACTGTTAGAACCGTGAACTGCGCCCACAGTTGCCAGGTCTGTTTTGCTGTCACCTTTTCACAAGCAAATGTACCACACGCCTACCTGGTGTAACTTAAGGAGAGGTTTGTCATCCACTGACATTTACATAAGGCAATGCCAACTGTAGTTGCCTGAGAATCAGAAAAGTAAAATGGCCACCCTGGTCAGCCTTATAGACCAGGCAGTGGTGACACACACCTTTAATCCCAGTAGCCACACCAGTTGCCATAGAAATCAGGCAATAGTGGTGCACGCCTTTAATCCCAGTCCTAGAGAGGATAATAAACAGGAAGAAAACAGCCCTTAGACACAGTCTCATTCTGAGATTCCTGGAGGCAGGATTGCTATTTCAGACTGTGGTCAAGGTAAGAGCCAGTGGCTGGCTGCTTTGCTTTTCTGACCCTCAGGTAAGTTTTATTTATTAAAATACAAGTGAAATTCCACTACTTCAACCTCTTCCCAAGCCCCCACCCCAGGCTCCTCAGGGTTCATATTTTCTATCTGACTCCAAATACCAGTCCCAGAGGACTCCAGTCTCCGTGCACTGAATGTGGTCTCTGCACACGCACTGTAGAGTGCACTGAGTGTGATCTCTGCACACACACTGTAGAGTGCACTGAGTGTGGTCTCTGCACACACACTGTAGAGTGCACTGAGTATGGTCTCTGCACATGCACTGTAGAGTGCACAATGTACTGAGTGTGGTCTCTGCATACACACTGAAGAGTGCACTGTGCAGCCTGCAGTCGGACTTCTCCAGATGACACTAACATTTGCCTCTGGAATATAAGAACACCTGGGCCACTTTCACCCAGACTGGAATAAAGACTGGAAGAATGCCAGGGTGAGTTCTTCCCCCTGCCCTGGGAAATTCCCTAAATCCAGAGCTCTCCCAGATGTAAGCAGGATGCAAAGGGGGTTCTTAAGTTTCAGGAATCAGAGAATTAAAAGAAAACTGTCCCCCAAATCCACAACATATACAAAAGTACATTCCTACTTGTCTTTAAAGATTCAAATTTTCTCTAAAATCTAATTACTTAGCACAGAATGTAATGATGTGTTATTTAATTGCCAAAGTCTAAAATATCTTTCCTTAAGTTGAGGTTTAGTTGCCCTTTGGAACTCTACTACAGAGTGAGCCCATAAGAAGACAGCCATCTGCTCGCTCAGAACCAGTGTGGCCCAGCACCAGCGAGCCCTCGGTGAGGCCGACAAACACTGTCACCAGGTGCTCACAGGCCCAGGTGCTCACAGGCTACCAACTACCGACAAGGGGACATCCACCCCGCACTCAGCGAACTCACTTTGGATAAGAAGGATAAAACATGGAGACCTTTGCATGAGGAGACCATGAACATTTTTTAGACTGTTCTCCAACATGGCAAATTGTATTTCTTAGCATTCTACAGAGACCAAGTTAAAAAGATTGACACTCAGTAATAATCCAAATAAACTGCCAAAGAACAAGACCCATTCTTCCCTCCAACTCCCTCCATGGTGGAGCCTCTTCCCATGGCGTTCCCATTCCCTTATCTTCCAGTCTTCAGTTACCTCACTCGGTGCTGAGCCTCATCCCCGCCACCCAGCACCCTCTTCACCCTTCCCTCTGTGTTCTCTGTCCTGACACACACCCATGTTCCAGGGCTGAGCTCACCAAGTCCTGGTCTCTGGTGCTCATGGAGCCGAGCACAAGGCTGGTGTCAGTGTATTCGGCAACAGACGCTGAAGCCCATGTGGGGGCTCACGCCTGTGACCATGTGGGGGTCCGACCATGTGGGGGCTCACGCCCAAGACCAAATGCTTGGGAGGACAAGTAGAAGAGCCGGGTGTTCAAGGCCATCCTCCACGCATAGTGAGTTTGGGGCTAATCTGGACTATCTGAGTCCCTGTCTCAAACAGGAAAAATGTCTAATAAAATGCATACCAATAGCGTCTCCTACATGCTTGCTCGGTACTTTCTATTTTGGATAATCTTCATTGAGAGTTTGGATGTAGAATGACCTGGAAGACAGACCTCTGTGCCTGTCTGTAAGGATGCAGAGAGGATACACAAAGGGAGAAGACCCCCTGGAATATGAGAGGCAAAAGTTGGGGTTCTGAGCAGAATAAAAAAGGAAAAGAGGAGGAGCCAAATGTGCATGGCAGATGAGCACCGGCAGATTGCATGGCAGATGTGCACCGGCAGATGTGCATGGCAGATGTGCACCGGCAGATGTGCATGGCAGATGTGCATGGCAGACGAGCACCAGCAGATGTGCACCGGCACATGTGCACCGACCCTCCCTGCTCTCTTCTTCCTGAGCAGCTAAGATGTGAAGTGGCCCAGGTCCACACTCCTGCCATCCGTGCACCCCCTATGATGGACTGTAGCACTTGTTTCTCCCCATTCAGGAATAATTTGCATTAATATTTATAATATTAATATAAATGAATATTAGTTTATTATTATTAATTAATATTAAAGGATGTGCCTTCCCTCTCTCCCCCACCCCTCCCAGGATTCCTGGCAAACTCCTTCCTCAATTCAACACCTTCATTTCTCATCAAAGTTTTGACTCAGCTGTGGTGTCCAGGTGATAAATGGACTTTTGGCCTAAATCCAAATGACAGCAACCCCAGCGTATCTACGAGCCTACTCTGGTTGTTCCTTTTCTTCCTAAATCTGTAACTGGAAGAGTCGTACTTAGCAACTGTCAGAACCCACATGCTGACTTACGAGCCTAGAAGGTTCCCTGGGGCCTCCACTGGAGCATGGCTCCTGAGCGTCTGCAGTAAGGGCCCAGGAACACGCCAGCACAGTGGGCTGCAGCGTGGATCTTTGGCTTTTAGAGCAAAGCCAAGCTCTCACTGGTAAATTAGGAGCATCTCGCAGACACGGAACATCAGTGCTGGCACCAGTGCATCGTGCAATCCAAGCTGCCTGCTGTTATCTAGCAGGCTGGGCAACAGCAGTAAACCGCCATCAACAGGGCAGAGGTCAGCCTGGCTAAGTCCAGAACACCCGCCCCCTACGTGGAGGAGAGTCAGAACTTCCACTCTGTATAAGGCCAATCCTAACCCTGAGTGGGAACATCCACCCTGTGTGGAGGAGAGTCAGAACTTTCACTCTGTGCAAGGCCAGTCCTAACCCTGAGTGGAGAACACCCACCCCCTACGAGGAGGAGAGTCAGAACTTCCACTCTGTGCAAGGCTGATCCTAACCCTGAGAGGAAAACACCCGCCCTGCATAGAGGAGAGACAGACCCTGAGTGGGGATCACAATAGTTGACTAGCAGAGAAGAGCAGGCTCTGTGTGTTGAATGAGTGAACACACATACCACAGACATACTCAGACATGACCCTTGGGGGACACCGTCCAGAGAGTGGGACTTCAAGCCACAGCTGGCTGCATCCTGCCTTTCAGTTTAGCATGGCTGAAGTGTAGGTCTTTGTTGCCCAGGAGCACTAGGCAAGAGTTCAGTGGACAGAAACTCGGTGCTTAAGACAGGTGACAGAAAGCTCCAAGGAAGAGAACCAGAGAGACGGCTCAGCGGGCAAAGCACATGCTGTGGAAGCAAGAAGACCATACTCGTATCCCACAGAGAGGCCGAGTGGGCACAGTGACCAGCCTCAGAAGGCCAAGACGGGAACCCCAAGTGGGCACAGTGACCTGCCTCAGAAGGCCAAGACAGGAACCCTAGAGCAAGCTAGTCCCAAAGACTAGTCCAACCAAATGAGCTCTGGGTTTCATTGAGACAGGTTAGCTCAAAGAATAAGGTGGAAGAGACTGAGATAATTCCCAACATCAGCCTTGGGCCTACACACACACACACACACATGTACACATTGCATAGCACACACATATACACACGCACGCACACACATGCATGCATGTACATGCACATGCGTACACACAACACATACATGCACACATTGTATTGCACACACAGACACATGCACATACATACAAGTACACACCCATGCACATACACCCACACCTACCCGTACTCAAATGCAAACATGCATACACGAGTCATGGT